AACATATGAATATCCCCCTCGCAGTTTGAGAAATTCATTTAAATCCAAGTATTTTATGAGTGTAGACATTAAAACAGATTGAGTAATCCTCTTTCACATTTGTGTTAATCAGAGTTGATTGAAAAATTTATAACAAAATTTATCTAATTAGGTTTCTTTGTTTTTACATAATAAGGGGCATATTCCATTAGCAAAGCCAGTTTCAGTCATGTAATCAGTGCTGGCTTGAATTAAAAGTTATACTTTTGGTGAAACTTAGAGATTACTAGTAGGACATTTAATTTAGATTACTGTACAATATATTTTTGCAGAAAATACATTGAAATGTAATAAATGTGCAAAAAATTATGAAAAAGGTGTCTGAATATCCCTCCTTTTTGCCATATCCAATCTTGATTCTGCTGAAAAGGGGGAGGGGTAATTTTATGCTCTAATCATGCTGAAAGTGAGGTAAGAAATTTTGTTTCAGTTTGGTTTATTTGAATAACAAGAGTCATGCTTATCTGCAGTTATTTTTTTCAATTCCTTTGATATTTTTTAAAATAATTATCAAAGTAAATTCTAATTTAACATGATTTTAAAGGTATTACATCACAAATGCTTAAAAGAAATTCAAAAGATGGTGTAAATAATAAAGAAAATATATGATATAAGCTACTGGATGCATTTATCAGTATGTTTTAATAAAATAGAATGTATTTCAGCAATGCATTCTCAAGAAGGAAGAGTTTAACGAACCCTACCATCTTACAATTAACAACACGTGGACACTCTCGGGATGATCCCTTTGCTTTCATTAAGATTTCCAAGGTATGGTTTTCATAGAAAATCTGGTTAATATCTAAATATTTAGAACATTTTATAGATTATTTGAAAACAAATTTCCCCAGAACTGCATTTATTTAAGCACTTTCCTTACAATTGAGCACTGTATTCAGTTAGACAATATGATTTATCTGCCCTTTGCATTTAATCAATTTATTAATTATGTCAATCATAAGAAATGATATGCAAATAAATATATTTGCCTTTTATGAGATTATAGATATTTAACATCATTTACATGAAATGTTCATGAAAACTAGCTAAAATGTAGGTCACCCGCCTTCAAAAGTACAAAATTTTCAGTGGACATGTATTTGATTCTCTGATGCCAGAAACCCATTGCTGATAGACTTTTTAAAAATCTTATGTACATTTGAACTAGATATAATTTTCTTTCTTTCCATTTATTATTTTATCTACATTAGTTTTTAATCTTTCCATAACCCAGCTTTTTCTAACAAAAACCTGCTAATTTTCTTCATTTTTCATTAATAACGGGTGCCTGCTACCCTGAATGATTATTATGATCTACCTTGAGAAATTATTAGAAATAATAAGAAAAACAAGCAAAACATATGCTAGATTAAACATTCTATTTTAAAAGTTTGAAAGAAAAATAGAAAAATGCTTTAACTTATAGACATCTTTTCTGTTTCACAGATGTGGGTGTGATTGAATGGGATGTGAAATGTAACATCCAATGGTGTACTTAAGCTAAGACTGTCAGTCCCAATAACTATATTTACTAAATTGACCATTTTTAATAAATGTTTCTTTTACTCTATAGGAAAAACCCCTACATAAACAAATACATGGGCGCAGACATTTTGGACACCCAAAGTTGTGCGGAGGAGAAAATGCTAGCTAATGCGTGATTGGTCAATAAGAGAAAAGACTTGCTATGTATTTGACAAGTGAGATAAATTTGATAAAAATCTCATATCAACATTTGGGTTTCTTTGAGGTATATAGGAGTTACAAGTAAAAATTTGAAGGGAGGGATGCACTTTGGTGAGAGATTTTCATTTGGTGTCAAACGCACCTATTTTTAAACAAATGGAATTGAAAGGAAAAGTGCAACGGCACAGTATATTTTTTTCTGGCTTTTTTTTTGTTTTCCAGTATCTCGAACTTTCACGACAAAAAGATCATTTGCCCGAAATTCAATATATGTATCAGTGAGAGGGGCTAAAGAATGTATGGAAGTCTATGGGAAAACATTTAGTGGTGGTTGTCCTATAGAATAGGTATGATTTCATGGATAAAAAATGATTACAGCCACAAAATCAATCAGTTCCTATTTTTTGGCATTGAGATTATATTTTAGTTAGTTTTGACTATTTGTTTAAAAATTAAAGGGTTTGGGTAAATTGAGGCTCACAATGTGGACTGCACATAGTGAAAAAATGCTAAAATTTTTACCCTAGCTCTCATATTTTCAATAAATGTACATTGAAATAATTTCAAATAAACATTTACACCGAAATTTACTGCGAATGTTGTAAATAATACAATAACAATATTTATGGTCATCATCAATACACAAAACATATGAATATCCCCCTCGCAGTTTGAGAAATTCATTTAAATTCAAGTATTTTATAAGTGTAGACATTAAAACAGATTGAGTAATCCTCTTTCACATTTGTGTTAAACAGAGTTGATTGAAAAATTTGACTGCTATTAAATAATTAGGTTTCTTTGTTTTTACATAAGGGGCATAATCCAGCAGCAAAGCCAGTTTCAGTCATGTAATCAGTGCTGGCTTGAAATAAAAGTTATACGTATGGTAAAACTTAGAGATTACTAGTAGGAAATTTAATTTAGATTACTGTACAATATATTTTTGCAGAAAATACATTGAAAATGTAATAAATATGCAAAAAAATTACTGAAAAAATATCAAAAGGTGTCTGAATATCCCTCCTCTTTGCCATATCCAATCTTGATTCTGCTGAAAAGGGGGGGGGGGTAATATTATGCTCTAATCATGCTGAAAAGTGAGGGAAGGAATGTTGTCTGAATTTGGTTTATTTGAATAACAAGAGTCATGCTTATCTGCAGTTATTTTTTTCAGTTTCTGTGATATTTTTAAAAAATAATTATCAAAGTAAATTCTAATTTAACATGATTTTAAAGGTATTACATCACAAATGCTTAAAAGAAATTCAAAAGATGGTGTAAATAATAAAAATAATATATGATATAAGCTACTGGATGCATTTATCAGTATGTTTTAATAAAATAAAATGAATTTCAGCAATGCATTCTCAAGAAGGAAGAGATTAATGAATCCTACCATCTTACAATGAACAACACTTGGACACTCTCGGGATGATACCTTTGCCTTCATTAAAAGTTCCAAGGTATGGTTTTCATAGAAAATCTAGTTAACATCTGAATATTTAGAACTTTTTATAGAATATTTGAAATAAATTTCCTCAGAACTGCATTTATTTAAGCACTTTTCTTATTTACAATTGAGCACTGTATTCAGTTAGACAATATGATTTATCTGCCCTTGGCATTTAATCAATTTTTTTTATTATGTCAATCATAAGAAATGATATGCAAATAAATATGTAAGACTCCAAGGTCCGATGGTGACGCCAAAGTCCGATGGTCTCGCCAAACCCCGATGGTCTGCGTCAAACCCCGATGGCACGCTATCTATGCGGACGCCAAAGTCCGATGGTCACGCGAAAGTCCGATGGCTGGTTTCCTATGAGACGCGCGACGCTAAAGTGCGATGGTTTGACACGCCAAAGTCCGATGGTGCGGAGGAATTATCAACGTTTATGACGTCACAATAGTCCGACGTCTTGACGTTGTTCTGCATTCAAAAACCATTGATTCAGTATTCGTCTCACATACATTTTTACTGATAAAGCTTATTGTTTTCGCCCACCAGAGCTATTAGGGCCAGTCCTTGTAGGCCATATTCGACTGATAAGGGTTAGTTCTTGAACACTAATGTGTTTCCCCGAGAGATTTAATGGTTAGTCCTCGCACATTATTGGACTGATTTTGGGTTAGTCCTGCACCCATCCAAGATATCTAGCTTATAGTTTTTACACATTTTTCGACTGATAAGGGCTTGGCTTGGCGCGGTATCGCATTTTTGCGCAGCAGTACTATGACGTCATAAACGTTGATTGTTTTCCGCACCATCGGACTTTGGCGTGTCAAACCATCGAGGTTTGACGCAGACCATCGGGGTTTGGCGTGACCATCGGACTTTGGAGTCCCATCGCACTTTGGAGTCCTACAAATATATTTGCCTTTTATAAGAATATACATATTTAACATCAATTACATGAAATGTTCATGAAAATTGGCTAAAATGTAGGTCACCCGCCTTCAAAATTACAAAATTTTCAGTGGAGATGTATTTGATTCTCTGAAGCTAGCAACCCATTGCTGATAGAATTTTTTAAAATCTAATGTACATTTGAACAAGATATAATTTTCTTTCTTTCCATTTATTATTTTATCTACATTAGCTTTTTATCTTTCCATAGGCTAGCTTTTTTTTACAAAAACCTGCTGATTTTCTTCATTTTTTATTAATAACGTGTACCTGCTACCTTGAATGATTAGCATGATCTACCTTGAAAATTATTAAAAATAATAAGAAAAACAAGCGAATTCAAGAGGTGAGATAAGCAGTGGATATGTGTTCTATATTTACTAAATTGACCACTTTTGATTAATGTTTCTTTTACTCCATAGGAAAAACCCCTACATAAACAAATACATGGGCGCAGACATTTTGGACACCCAAAGTTATGCGGAGGAGAAATGCTAGCTAATGCGTGATTGGTCAATAAGAGAAAAGACTTGCTATGTATTTGACAAATGAAATAAAGGTAATAAAAATCTCATATCAAGACTTGGCTTTCTTTGAGGCATAAAGGAGTTACAAGTAAAAATTTGAAGGGAGAGATTTTCATTTGGTGTCAAACGCACCTAGTTGTAAACAAATGGAAATGGAAAGTAAAAGTGCAACGGCACGGTATATTTTTTCTGGCATTTTTTGTTTTTCAATATCTCGAACTTTCACGACAAAAGGTCTATTGCCCGAAATTCAATATATATGTATCAGTGAGAGGGGCTAAAGTTAATAAGGAAGTTTATGGGAAAACATTTGGTGGTGTTTGTCCAGAAGCCTTTGGTATTTGGGTACAGTCCACTAATTGTTTTCCCATAGGCGACAATGTTAACGTTTCCTCTCATAGCGATGTCCCTAATTTTCGTTCAGAAGTGAGTGACCCCTCAAATCAAAGCACATCAACTTGTCTTTCCTTGGTTAAAATCTCGAGCTGGCATGTCAGATTCGTTTTCCGGCAAAATGCGCCTGTCTGCGGGAACCTCTAAAAATGAAAGTGAAAGTAGGGGAATTTCAGAATTGTAACTGGCGTTATAATACACAAAATAATTCGGCTGATCTTCTTGATAAATTACATTTTCCAAGCTTTTTTGGTAGGAAAGATACTCCTTATCAACAAGTGTGAGGCTCAGTTTAGTACATCTGCCCAATTTTTTTTTTATGCAAGTCTGCAAATTAAGGAACTTGGAATTTTTTCTGCACTACTTTCTTCTCCTACCGATTCTAAAAATAATTAGTGGGATGTACCCAATATGGAAAAGCATTTTTTTGATTTTACAATATTTCATACTGTTTGTCAATCTAGAGTATAAGTAGAGACATCATGCTAAGTTTCATGAAAATTCACCAATTAATTAAGATTTTATAGCATTTACAGTTCTATGTGTAATATCCTTAAAAAATGCTCCAATCTAGCCAAAACTGCTCCCAAGTTTTAAGTCAAATTTTAGCCTTTTAACACATTTATATTATTCTTAATCACCTTCATAACTTTAAATACATATAGTCAAATCATAATCGAGCACTTAATTGGGTCAATTTCACTTATTTAAAAAAATTAATGTATTTCCGCACAAAATATGACCACTTTTCACCCTCAAATTAATAGTTTCTCCAGAAATGACAAAAAAATGAAGTTCACAAATACCCCGAAAGTAGTAAAATAAAAAAGTACTGATTATTTCCTGTCCATTGAGGTATCATTCATGAAATTTGGTCTATGAATAAAAAAGTTATAAGCCTTTATAATCCTATATAGAATCATTTGTTTCAAAGGAATTTTTATACCAATGCAAATTTACTCATCTATGATGTCACAATGACATCATAATAATGGATACCTCAATACATGTGTATCATAACTTTTCCCGTACTTTTTATTTAAGACAAAATCAGTGCTTATTTACTATTATATTAACTTTAAAAAATGAAAATATGTGGTTTTGCAGATTAAATAAATAATCCACTAAAGTTGTTTTGTTTCCATGGTAACCATTTTGTAATTTGTAGGAAAATGAGACAAAATTTTGAATTTCCTGACAAATCGCATAATTTGGACTGTCAAATATTCATGAAATTTCAATTCTTATATCCGTGTAATCTTAATAATGCATAATTTACAAAACAAAGATGAAGATCTAATTAATTTGAAATTCTTAAATAAAAAAATAAAAATGTATATGAGCTGCAAAATGTATATAGCAGTGCATGTACAGATTAGTTATAGCTAAATACTTTCACATTCTGATCACCTATTTAATATGTAAACTTCCTCACCCCCACCCCACTTCCACTTCAATGAATTTTTTTTTTTTTTTAGAAAACTTTAACTTACACATTTTGCCGACTGTCTCACTTTACTGGTGCTGTTTCAAGATGTATTCAAATGGGCGTGCATTTGCTGGCCAATAGTTTTAAACACCATCTGCATGGACCTAAAATAAATCAATACAATAAATGGCACAATATCACATTTGCAGACAGACAGAAACACAGACATTCAACACGTACAATTTTACCATATTCCTTTTATGCCCATTACTTGAAATTAATTAATTTAAAAAATGATTAATTGGCTTCCACCTGAAATCACACTGTTAACATATATAAGTAATTAAGTTAATTCAACAGAATAGATAAAAATCATGTTTTGCTGACAATAATATGAACATTCAACAAATACATGTAATGCAAATTGCTAATAAATATGAGAGAAACCAGTTAACGTGCATGTTCACAGACATCGTTTAACTCACAGACAACTGTAACCAGCTTCATCGCGCAACTGATCTGAAATGATGTATGTCTCGTATGTGGCGTGCCGATCATCGACATGTTCCAAAAAACATTCAATTGTTATTTACAAATATTGTACTAAGGTATACCTCTTGCCTCCTGTGTAACATACAAATCCTATCACCTATATACTGCTAAACAATGCACTGAACACTTTTGACAACTTTCTGCTAAGTCTACTTTCACTTCGACCTTGACCCCGATTGAATACCGATCCCGAACACATTTGTGAATTTTTGTGTATTGAAAATAAACCACAGTGGAGCATATACTTCTATACAATTGTTTCTTAATCAAATTATACATTTATTATTCTGAATAAATAAATTTTATAAATCGATACATATAATCTACATGATTAATGTGTAAAACAATGGGTGATACATGTGTGAGTATGTTGTCTGTTCCGGGGGGGGGGGGGGGGGGTTAGGGGGTCTAGACACTTTATTTATGAATCAATTTGTTTAAAAATGTGTATCAACAATTCAAGAATTGTTTTTTTCATAAATTTGAACAATTGAAAATAATAGAAAACACCAATTTTGAAATAAATTCAAGATTTATGACATCTTTCACTTACTTATAGGCTTCCTAATATGGGTACAGTCCACTAATTGTTTTCCCATAGGCGACAATGTTAACGTTTCCTCTCATAGCGATGTCCCTAATTTTCGTTCAGAAGTGAGTGACCCCTCAAATCAAAGCACATCAACTTGTCTTTCCTTGGTTAAAATCTCGAGGTGGCATGTCAGATTCGTTTTCCGGCAAAATGCGCCTGTCTGCGGGAACCTCTAAAAATGAAAGTGAAAGTAGGGGAATTTCAGAATTGTAACTGGCGTTATAATACACAAAATAATTCGGCTGATCTTCTTGATAAATTACATTTTCCAAGCTTTTTTGGTAGGAAAGATACTCCTTATCAACAAGTGTGAGGCTCAGTTTAGTACATCTGCCCAATTTTTTTTTATGCAAGTCTGCAAATTAAGGAACTTGGAATTTTTTCTGCACTACTTTCTTCTCCTACCGATTCTAAAAATAATTAGTGGGATGTACCCATTTGAAAGTACAGTGTTTGTCCTTGATCGAAAATAAAAATTCATAACACCATTTCTGGATACTTAAGTGTCTTCGAAATTTTGGTAGAGACGAATGATATTTTGAAGCAGTTACCGCCATCCGATGCCAGTAATCCGAAAAGAGTATATAGAAGGGCCCTGCTATAACTCAAATACAGAGAGAATACCCTAGTTTGAATAAATGTTTACAGAACTTAATGCAAATACGGGGGTTATTCATAACGTTCGTAGACTTTTGTCCTATTTTTTTTTAACTTAACGTCATATTATATCCAAATTTGTACACATATTTTACTAACAAATTCGGATAATTTGAGAAAAAATTGGAACACATCTTGATATCTATAAAAATCTACAAAGATTTAGAACATCAAAAATGAGTCAAGTAGCAACGTCAAAATTGAATAATTTACTAATTTTCTCTTTATAGTATCTATAGCCATACCACTAATAAGTGGATCTGACACGAAATGAAATTTACATGTTTTAAATTAAGTAATGCTGTATTGCTAAAAATGCTATCAGGTAATGTAATATATAACTTCGTTTGAAAGATATCAGTTTCTAAATACATGTGGACTTGATTAGAAAAAGGTAAAACACATGACGTTGGAGGAATTCATGGAGCATAAATAAGCCGTGTATTTGTATAAAACGGAATATACAATTTTTGAGTGGTAGCGATCCCCAGTGATAGATTGTTTAGGTTCCTAGAAATGGAGCAGAAATTTATACTTGAAATATGCCCCACGCACTTCGCACCACTTAGTGGTGCCACTACAGCTTCATTTCTAGCTGCAATAATGTAGCCCTCTCCCTTTTTTTTGGGGGGGGGGGGGAGAGGGCTACAACTCCTTAGGATCTTAGGAGTGATTCACTCCCGCAACATTTCAGGGTATTCTAACTATTCACTGAATTTAAATCCATAAACAAAAATCGTATGTTTCTTACTGTACCTTTCACTGTACAATCTACAACTAGCCATATATTAGGCTCTAACCTTCTGTTTTCAACAATTACAAAATACTCCAGTTTCTTGATTCATATTGTCCGCCATATTTGCTGTACTGAAGCTGAACTTCCGGCTGTCAATTTTAACAGCTTATTTGCATATGCCCATATATGGTAGTGTTGACATATACGCACGAGAATGGAGCCTGCAGAGGAGAAAGCGCTTTTGTCGACATTGGAAAGATTTAAGTTTGATATTAAGTTGAAGGAGGAGCAGAAAAATGTTATATTTAATATTTTAAAGAAGAAAACCAACAGGATTTGGGAAATCCATGACTTACATTTTGGTACCCTTGATTGCTGACGAGGTAAGTCAAAGCGGGCATCTCGCAGATTATATATTTTTTTCGGTGTTTTTATTTTTATTTATTTCGGAGTGTTTACATGTAAATAACAGATTATAAATGTTTTAGCTCATGGGAGGTGCGCCAAGACACACAGCTTTAGTAATATCGCCTCTGAGAGCGCTGATGAGGGACCAGGTTGAATTTCTGGAGCAGCACAACGTGAGTGCAGTTGCTTTGATGGATAACACTAAAAACCAAGGTGATTATGATTGTTCCATATGCATGAAAAAAAAATTAAGCCCCTTCGTAAAAAAACAAAAACAAAAAAAAAACAAAAAAAACTACCCGTACGAAAGTTCGAGGCGGAATAGGCACGGCTTGGGCACGGCTAAGACACGGAATCCGTACGGGTTTTTAAAAAGCGGCACGGGTTCTGCATGTCCAAGACACGGACACGGCTTCCGTGTCTGAAAGTGAGGAATCCTCACTCACAGAAACCCGTGTGGAGACACGGACTCCGTGTCCCAGGGAGACGGTTTTTAACTGAGGCGGGTTTTGCTTCAAACTATTTATTTATATCTCACGGCTTTTTACTGAGCATGCTCAATCATTTCTTCCTTTATTTGAATATCAAATTGGAGGGATTCTTGGTCATGAGCTAAGTCAGTGTGTCTTTTTGCTCTATTTAAAGGATATTTAACCAATAGATGTCATTTGGAATTGTATTTATGTCAGTCTGGGATAATTTCTCCACTTTTAAACTAAATGCAGTAAGTGTAATCTAGAATAAATTAGTCAATTTTTCAATTTTCATGATCTTCCTGTATTGCAATGTTGACAATGAACATGATGAAATAGTTTAGGCTTACTTGAATAACTTTAGTTGGACTTTCACTAATGTGACATCTCTGTGCTATAGAGTGAAAGTTTTATTAAGGTCTTCCGTCTTCACGGAAGACCTTATAGTGATTCTATTGTTTCTTATTATTATTCTTATTATTATTATTATTCTTTTTTTTGACAAAATTTTGTGCAGACGATTTCTCGAAAACTATTCAGCGGTTTTTCATGAAACTTTCACCAAATATGTTTCATTATATGAAGTTGTTACATCCGAAGAGAAATTTGGAAAATTCTCTTCTGGTGCCAAGTTATGGACAATTTTCTGATTTTAAAATGCGATTTTGTCGCCCCTTTTTTTCGAAAATGTCTAGGTATATGATATGGAGACTTATTGGAGATAATAGATCATGACTTTCTGGTTTGCAGAATCACCTTTTCGTGCGTCGTCAGTACTTCCGGTCGTTACGAGATGCAAAGTAAAAATAATCGTATTTTCTAACTTTTTTGTTTTTCAATATTTTTCATTTATGTTTGGTATGTTAATAGAAACCCTCCTCATAATGCTTACTATATAATTTGTTTGAATGTTGATAGATCTAAACTCTAGATATTAGCATTCAAAAATCTGAAGCGGGTCCAAAATGGCGGCTGTCTCAGTCAACGCCGACATTTCGCAATAGGGGTTTACGGAGGCAGCCGAGCGTTTGCTTGACCGAAAGTAACATAAGAATAAATGAAATATAAAGGAGTACTTGGACTGTCACGTCGTAGTTTCGTTGCAGTTCTGTGTCAAACTAACGTCTTCTATAATTGATTTTGGCTGGCTTTCAAAGTAGAAATAGAAAAGACTAAATGTGCAAATGAAATTCGATACCTAATATCTTTTGTGCATCACGGAAAAACAGATCTTAAATCATACTTATACGTAATACTTTCTCAAAAAAGAATATCAATTAATAGTGTCAGTATATATCTTAACCATTGTTTTTCCTATACACATTTGTGTCATAATAAACTAATAAATAATACAAAAATAAGAAAACGATTTTTTTTTTAAAGATCGCTTCATGGAGTTTATTTGAGCATCCTTGTCTCAAAGACCTGATTCAAGTTATTGAGCATAAATGATATCTGATTCCTTGACCGTCGTAGGGCAAGCCATGTTCTTCGGCGAAACTTTTCAACCTTTTTCGATTAACTAATCGGGATAGTTCACTTTGGGGATAAACAGGAAATTGAAAAAAAATCATAACCGTTTTACCGCTAAAGTGTTACATGCATATATACAATATGGAATTTGTAAAATGTTTTAAATATACTTTCTAAATCTCGAATCTTATGCTATAAGAACGTTCTTTTTTTAATTTCATTGAAGCTATCACACCTATTTAATAGAAAATTCCAAAGAAAAGGCGCAAGATTAACTTATGGCGTTTGGCGCTAAATTTTGAATAGTGATCTGACTTTCATAATTTTAAGAGAGAAGCATATTCGTTAATATGTACAAGTAGATTTAGGGTAGAGGTCCCGATAGCGTAATATTTAGTGCGTTGGAATTTCATGGTAGCTACTTGGGTTCGATCCCCCTTGTGTGCAAATCTTTTTTTACTTTTTCAGCTCGATTTTACGTCTTCTTTTTGGAATCGGACGGAAGACCTCTCGTTGCTCGCAACGAGTTTCATATCTAGTTTATCCTATATTCTTTCTCAAATTGTGCAAACTTAATTATAACTACAAGATTAAATTTCAATTGAATTGAATATTGTACATTATTATTAAAATCTTAATTAGAAACTAGCATGAATTGTAACTGATGAAGTTAATCTTTAACAGAAAGTAAATGTACACATTCATATAAGATTTTGAAATTCTAAAACCAAGCATAAATGTAAAGCAATGTGAAGTTTATAGTTTGGTTTCAGTCACTATTTTGGCATTCACAGTTACATCAGGACATTCTCTAAAGGCCATGACCTAGATCTAGACGAATTCGAATGCACAGATCCCGTGACTCCTTATATGGTATAAGGCACGGCTTTTTTGCCACGGGTTTCAAAATAACCGTGTCTCCATATATGGAAAAGGACACGGGTTTCAGACACGGGTTTACAGAATCCGTGAGTCCATATATGGAAACAAGCACGGCTTTCTGACACCGGTTTTGTAAAACCGTGTGATCTCATTTAAATAATTCGGCCAATATCCCGTGCCGTGTCCGTGCCTTGACCACTTTTAGGCACGGCTTTCCATACATGCTTTACATAGGAGCACGGAATGCTAAAGCACGGGTTTCAGGAGACGGAATCCGTGCCTGAGCCGTGTCTAAGCCGCCCGGACTGTTTCGTACGGGCATATATATAAGATAAGAAAAAAATATGTGTAAATCAAGATGGAGATAAGGAGGATTTTTAAGGGGCCCTAATCAGTTAATGAAGTCATGTGTTTTAATCAATATTAATTAACTAAATTAAGCAATAATCCTAGTATAGAATAAAATCAATGTACTTAATAAAGATTCTAGCTAGAGTAATTAAGTCTGTGGGTATGAACAGAAAATTATCACAACTGTAATGGGACTGTGAACACTGACCTGTTTCAGATAAACAGAGTTTACACATGTTACATTTTAAATTTCTTATTATTTTGCCTAAACAGACATCATGGACAAGCATTATAGTGTCATCTATGCATCACCAGAGGCAGCAATACACCAGAGATGGA